CACACTGATGTTGCCCATGGCCACGAATCCAAATCGACTACAAATCAATCTCATATTTATTGGAGCAAATCTTATTTTTCCTACTTGATAATTGTTGATTATCAGTCATATCGAATGCTTTAATACCTTGATGAAAGATGTGCGGCCACATATCAATTGCTCGTTGTTTCACTCCATGACGGGTGGACAAAATACTTTCCATCTGTTTCAGATCTAAACCCCATACATTTTTTTCTGGCAACACGATTTCATTCGATGCTGTCGATGGTTTATTCACATGACAACCTTCTGGAAAGTACCATACATTCATTTGGTTCTTGGTACTTAATAAATTCGAATCTTTGTACTGTTGGTGTGGTAACTTTCCCAGCCATTCTTGTTGGTATGGTCCCCATTTGCAACATGGACATGTGACAATACCGACGATGCCTTCTGACGCATTAATCGCTGCTATTGCATCATCAAGAGTGACATGTGCATGCATCATAACGACAATAGCTTGTCGACAGAGAATAGAAACTGATTGAATCTTTGCACGTGCCATTCGTAAACCTTCCGTCGCTTTCCATTCATTACAATGATCGATTGTCGTTAAACTTCGTCGATTAAGAAATGCCATGTCAGTATAAGAGTCGTACTGAAGTATCGGATCGATACTGAAACATTGCCATAAACCTTTGGTTAAATACGCACACAGACCAGCGGTTCGAGGAGTCATACCATCGCCAACAACAATAATCGCATTTCGACGACCAGTTGTAGAGGATGTCGATGATAAGTTAGGTAGTATATGTCGTCGAATAGCACTCCAAATTGCAAAAGATTCTGTAACTTCTTTCGCATTTGGAAAGATTCCCATGGAAATTAGATCTGGAGCACATCTTAATCGTAAAAATTCGTCCAAATAATCTAAATGATATGTAGCAGACGATTCGTTGTGTGAAGATTCACTTTCAGCCATTACATGTGTATATCGAGACATGATTTAAAGAAAAAAAGAAATGTGTCCGATAGAAACCGTTAAAGAGAAGGAAAGAAAAAGAAAAACGATGTTTTTCTTCGTTCCTTTCCTCCACGTTGTATTTCTGATGACTAGTCACATGATGGAGGAAGGAAAGTGACTTCTGTTAGACAGCAGCGGGTATCAAACTATCACATAATTCTCGAAGATTTACGACGTAAAAATTCGTGTCAACGAACTACCAGTGGATTTCGAAGCTAATTGATTGATGCATTTCATTTCATGTCACTTGATGTTTGTCATATTTACGAGAAAAACACTCTCCCTCGTAGTTAGAAGTATTACATTTACATGCAAAAAATTTGCCTAGTGAAGCAGCTTTCGCCATTGATACTCTTTCTGATCAGCATCTTACAGCTTTGGTTCATTTTACTTTAAATTTTCAACATATTCGTGTTTTATCACATTTAACTGACGAAATAGCACCTCGATCCATTAATAGTAGAACAGAATGAATATCGATCGTTTATGTAATCGTTCTAAACTGTATTTTGTCGATACTTAGTTGTCAGTATTTTTCTTTCTTGTTTCGTTAACGATGTTAGTAATAGAATCGAAATCGTATGCATAGATTTTTCTCAGTTATCAAGGCATTAGATGAATGGAGAAGAAACTGTTTTCAAGTAGGTCGATATCAGTTCGTCGATCCACACGACTTTCATAGACATGTAAACTTTGATAAACAAAGAAAAACAGAGAATCTAAAGGGTGTATATCAGTTTCACAAGTGAAAAATGTCGGTCGAAGTAGGTCAAGGTACGAAGACGATACGCCATCCGTTAGAACCTCTATCGCTTAGTGAAATTCAACTTGCGATAGACGTTTTGAAACAGCAAAGTGATAAAGTGACATCGACAACGCGATTTGTATCGGTGAGTTTGCATGAAGCACCTAAGGAAAAAATTCTTCAACCGTGCAATGAATATGTTCCACGCGAAGCTGACGTGATTCTTTTCGATAACGGAACGAATTTGTGTTACGAAGCTCGAGTTTCACTTGAAAATCAAGGTCAGCTTATTTCCATTCAGCATATACCGAACGTTCAGCCAACAATGACTATTGATGAACAAGTCGAATGTGAACAAGCCGTACTGAGTTGTGTGGAATTTCAAAAGCTACTTCACGAACATTATGCAATCGATGATATCAGCCGAGTTATGGTTGATATATGGTCTGGTGGTTATTATGGACAAGAAGAAGAGCGTACACGTCGTTTAGCGCGACCATTATGTTTCTTACGATCGGATTCAACTGATAATGGATACGCACATCCTATCGAAGGTTTGAGACCGGTGGTTGATCTGAATCTAAGTAAAGAAAAAAGGCAACTTGATAATAAGAAATCCGAAAAGTTTCTTTTTCTTTTAAGTGGAAGTCATTCGCGTTGAAGTCTATAACAAATATCCCATTCCTTCGACGGCTTTCAATTATTCATCAGATCGGGTCACGGAAACCCGTGATGATATTAAACCTTTGGAAATTCTTCAACCCGAAGGTCCAAGTTTTCAAGTCGATGGCTATCAAGTTTCCTGGCAAAAATGGTCGTTCGTCATCGGTTTTACTATGCGTCAAGGCTTAATTCTTCACCATTTGACCTATGATCATCGTTCGGTTCTATATCGAGCTGCATTAAGTGAAATGGTTGTACCTTACGGCGATCCAGCTGAACAGCAAGCACGAAAAAATGCTTTCGATTGTGGTGAATATGGCATCGGGTGTTGTACAAACAGTCTTGAACTTGGTTGTGACTGTCTTGGCCACATAAAGTATTTCGATGGAAACATGTGTACAAGTCGAGGAGAGTTGTTAGTGATTAAAAATGCAATTTGTCTTCATGAAGAAGACGTAGGAATATTGTGGAAGCATACGGATCGACGACTAAACAATCCGGAAGTAATTCATACTAGATAGTGTACTTTGTGTTTTATTTCTCATTCAGGTACGACGAAGTCGAAGATTAGTTATTTCGAACATCGCAACGATCGAGAATTATGAATACGGATTCTATTGGTAAATATCTATTGACAAAACGTCTGCTAGAACTCCGTGTCTTATTACTAGGTATTTATATCAAGATGGTACTATACAATTTGAGGCGAAGTTAACCGGTGTTCTGTCAGTGGGTGCATTACCACCGGATGCCAAATCTCCTTATGGAACATTAATCGCTCCTCAATTGTATGCACCGTATCATCAGCACTTTTTTAATATGCGTTTAGATTTGGCCATTGATGGTATCAATAACACTGCCTATATGATCGACGTGGAAGCCGACCCTGATGATGCCGATTATAATAAATTTCACAATGCATTTCACCTGAAGAAAACTCGACTGGAAACAGAAAAGCAAGCTCGAAACAATCTGTGTTTGGAGACATGCCGTTCATGGAAATTTGAAAACGGGTTGGTTCGAAATGCCATTGGTGAACCGACTGGTTATAAGCTCCATCCTGGGGAAAATTCTGTTCCATTTGCTTCATCGAAAGCTTGGTGGCGTCGACGTGCGAGTTTTGTTAATTATCATGTGTGGATCACACCATTCAATGAAAAGGAAATGTTCGGCGGAGGAGATTATCCAAATCAAAGTCAAGAGGACCACGGTTTATTGAAATATACGGAACAAAATCGATCGATTGTTAATCAAGATATTGTCCTTTGGTATACATTGGGTATAACACATATTCCCCGACAAGAAGATTTTCCTGTCATGCCTGTTGCTACAGCAGGATTTTCCCTCAAGCCCAACGGATTCTTTGATTTGAATCCAGCAAATGACATTCCGAGAGCGAAGAAAATAACTAATGGACATTGTTGCAAAGACTAACATTAAAAGCTTCTTTTTATTTTATCAATAAAAAAGTGTTTCTTTTAGACTACATAGAATGTAAATCTTCGTTTATCCATAATTAATAAGAACAAGTATTGGCAGAATAAGAATCGCTACTATTTGCCGACAGCTAGATGCCGACGAAGCATATCGATTGAGAAAGTTGATATTTTGTGAGGTGTCTTTCGTTGTTGGACTACACAAACTCACACTCGGATTGTCAGATTCTCTATACGTCCAAACTTGCCACTTTTCACCAACACGCATCGACACACCACAAGATGCGGAATCGAGCGCTGTTTTGGCGATCAAACGACGATCAGATGGTATCACGCCTTTGAATACCTTCTCTACTTGGAACGTAATTCGATGTTCAAGTTGCTCCTGGACGAAGTCGATATGAGTAACAGTGCCGATAAAGACTTGTGTTGCTTCAGCCAAATATTTTTGCAACGAAATTTCAGCAAAACAACTGCAACCATCGACGGATGCAACAAAGGCCTGCGAAAATAGAACGATGATAAAAAGAACGTGTCGTGGCATCTTTATCAATAAGATTTTGCTTCTTCTTCTATATATACGTTTTATTTATCTGCTACATGTGTTGATAGGTTTGATTTTCTGTAGTGGAGATATTGTCGTCAACATTAGTTTGTTTCTTTATCTATCAGAAGAATAGCGTACATGTGGGAGATTTAATCCACATATAGTTGCTTGCCGTGAGTCACGTGCTGCTGTTTCAAAGAAAACAAAATATTTTTATGCCTATACAAATGCAAAACAGTTTTTATTATTCAACTCCGAAAATTCTCGGGCGCTCCCGGCGATTACTCTGAAGGAGAAGTAAACACATTCTTCTACGTTGTCTTTCGTTCTGCTTAACACTCCAAACACACGTTTTTTCTTGGTGCAGTCAACAGATCGCTTTTTACACACTATCGTTCGAAAAATTATTGCGCGAGAAGAAGCTTCTGATAAACTCAACGAACAATGGATACACACGATAGTACTATATGTGTGTGTGACAAAACCTTAGAGACGTTCTTATCTAGTCTTTTAATAACAGCGAGAAAAGAAAGATATCATGTTGCATTGGTAAGTGCATAGTGTAATGAGATGCCGATATAATCACGTACAGTATAGGACAGAATCATGCAAGAAGGGAGAAATTCGAGATTTTTCTCTTTTTTTTGTAACGTTTTTGACTCAAGTATGGTAGATTTTCGATATTATTTATCGTCGCAGTCTCGTATATTTCAGAGAGTATTTTGACAACTAACAAACATCATGGATCGAAACTGTATGGATGATGAACACACATATGAAAGACTTTATTACAATACGATTTCTCCAGTCCGTTTGAGCAGCGTATCTGAGAGTGAACCGAGATCATCTCTATTACCTAAAGAAGAGATCGTTCCGGAGCGTACAAGTCATATCTCTATCAATGAGCCAGGATCTTATCTGCTGCCCGTACCTGAGAAACCCGATCTTAGTGAAGAATTACCGTGCCGAAGGAGTCCAGTTCCATCCAAATGTATAACAAAAAAAACAATATTAATTATAGTTATCGTAGCTATTGTTATTGTTGTCATATCAGCATGTCTCGTCGGCGTTATTGTTTTCAAGGTAGCGCTGAACAACACGCATAAGTGAGTATTGTTTAGAATTGGAATGTATATCATTGTCTACTTGTAGGACAACCAATGGCACCCTTATTTTGGGCGATAGCACATACGTAGGTGAAATCTTCGACGGACAGGCGCAGGGCTATGGAACTTTGACGAAAGGGGATGGCCGCCGTTATGTAGGCAATTTCAATATTAATAAATTGGATGGGCAAGGAATGTTATTCCTTCGTGATGGCTCGGGAACTGCTAGAAAGGTATACGAAGGACATTTTCTGGAAAATAAATTTGATGGTCCAGGAGTGTATTATTATCGAGACGGAAGTCGGTATGAAGGTACATGGACGAGCAATCTAAGACACGGAGATGGAAAAGTAGTTTTCGCCGATGGACGTAGTCGTGGAGGACAATGGGCGTATGATAAACTGATTGAAAACGCGAACACAAGAAAGACGAAATGATCATTTCACATACTTTACATTTCCTCATTACTGCTAGTTGAGAAGAAAAAAAAGTAACTCAGGACCTATAGTTCGTTTTTAACTTTTTATTTCATATTCTACATAAGAGGGATTTTGTAGCATTTCATTCAATATAATTTCGTTTCCCTAAATATATGACATATTCATTGTAAGAATGTGACAACATTTTGCACGCTAGTCTCAATAATCCTCAGCGACCTCATTCTGTTTCCAAACCAAAACGATGGCGACATTACAAGATATTTTGACAGTATTATTAAAATCTAGGATTTGTTTCATACACTCGGACAATTTACATTTGTTCATTGTTCACATGTTTAAGAGAAATTGAATTTGATCGAAAAGCTCGTTGGAACAACATTCAGTGAATTGTACATTCCATCTGTAAATCTACCTTATGAAATATATCAATCAAGGTCAACTGTAAAATCCTTAAGTTCCATCGAGTCAAAAGCAACTTTTGCTAAAATAAAGCTATCTGGTATAACAGCAAATCTTGTTCAATTAGGAACATTGATGGTTACTCGAGGAAAGTAGCAAAAGAATTTCATTTTCTGTCGATCTTGGTGAATATAAATTCAATGCAAGCGTAAGTTTATAAATTAGAGAAAATTCTTTCGAAATTTCCAAGATTCGTTATTAACGAATGATAAATTCAAAAGTTGACCTGTGAAATCCATTATGTTCGTCATCATGATCAGGTATAGCGATTCACTTCATCCGGATTGAACACATTACTTGATGATACATACAGAAAATCGAAAGCATTCATCATTGCAGACAACCGGTTATGTACTTGTTAAATGACATTGAAAATACTGGTCCACAAGCAGTTGCTATTGAATATAGAATATTTGTCCTTATTAATGATAGTTGTGCTATATAGACAATGTGTGTATTAAATTTAGAATTTCAACATGTTGATCTAACAGCACAAGTTGCTTTATTTTCTGTCTATATGTAAATAGTTGTACCAATATTCAAAATAATAAATGGAATATCTATCGTAGATAAATGAAGCTATATTTGAATTATACAAACATCTGTTTTTTTTTCGGTGATAGACAAAGTTTTTTTGTACTATTCTGGTTTTGTATTTAAAATACATTAAGGCGCGTTTCAAAAAAGAAACAAGTTCAAATGCATTAAATTTTATTATTGATTAGCCGCCTTACAATGGTTCTTGCTCAATTGATCCATTTGAAATTAAAGGTCTATTCTTTATAATTAGATTGGAAAAATGATTGATTGCTATCAAATTTTCAAGTTCGATGTTACCAACTGAAGAACTTAATTCAGTCATTCGTATATACTTTCTAAGTTTTAGCTCTTTATTCTTATACTCAACATTCTGATTGCAGATGCAGATCTTTCGATATCACTATTGGGAAGTGAAAAATCTCAATCTGTAGTTTGACTCTTTCCAAACTTCTTTTCTTCTCGAACCAATCTCAATATTATTAAATCTGTTGAACATATTTATGTTTCAACTAACAAAATGATGTACAACTATATCTACTCTAAATTTGCATTTTTCAAGTATTTTTGCTCCAGTTGTAACATTGAAATGGAAACTCGATACTCTTCACCTTTCAAAAACAGAACTGTCGGAGCTATTACGCTTCTTCTCTAATATTTGCGTATTAATCTTCCATTTGTTTTCATTTTCTAAACTTAATATATAAAGTCTTGTACAGAGTGAAACTTTTCAGACGGTGACTAGTACATTTAGTGAAGAATTTTCAAGTACTTACGACTTTGTGCCTTCAAATGCAATGTTTTCGTGTACTAATTTACAGGAAAGGTTCAAAATCGATTTGTACTCCGTTTGCTCGAAGAATGCAAAGAAAGTATATATGAAAAGAAGAAAAGCATTTGTCCATTGTAAGAAAGTTCATGGCGAATTGAATGTTTTCCTTATTTTTCGTTTAAAAAAAAAACAATTGATCCGCGTGTGAATGTTTTTCTTTATCGAATAAAAGCTTTATCGCGTCGATATATAAACTCATTCGGATTAGTAGAAACATGACACGTTGAATCATAATAAGTGCCAGATAATCGATCAAGAAATGTCCAAAAAGTCGACACATTTTTTCGACCAAGTTGATGATGAAAATAATGTCCAATTGAACCATGCCATGTGAGTCGACCTATACGACTCCAATTATGAAACATCCAAGGAAAATCATAACCTGAATGAATATTAGTTGCCACAAAGTGAATAAACAGAATAGATACAAGACGAGTTAATGGATCCATTTGAAGTGGGATCATAGCCGTAAGAAAGAAAATCAATCCAGCAAAAGTTTCTAATTTGCTACCATAAAATCCATTCCATGGATAAATGTATCTTCCACAACTAGCATGGTGTATAGCATGTGATCGATAGAAAAATGACGCAATCCGTGGATGAAGATGAGTAATATGATGAAATGAATGTGTTAATATATCAAAAATAAATGTATATGCGACCGACTTCCACAGTAAAGTCCACCAAGTGGGTGTCACATAAAAATGAACATTCGGTCGATAAAAGAATATCTCATAGAATACTAATGGTAAAATATGCCATTTAATCATGTTGATTAGAGATGATTTCATATAATATAGAATTTCTTTTGATGATGTTTGTAAATCTTTTCGAATCTTCCATTTTTTACCTGGTAAATAGTCAAGTTCAATTAATGCATATATACACATTAGTATTAAACACCAATAAATACGAATTAGATGTTCAGGTATAATATGATTCATGTACCATTCTTGTTCCAATAGCTTTTTATGTGCATATTCAAGAATTGATGATGACATAGCATATATCTTAAGCAGATTGAAGATAAAATGTAACTTATTTGTGTTTCTGATATATAGTATGTTATTGTTTGATAAGACTTTGCTAACCCATTATTACTAATAGATAAAAATAAGAAAAGAAATACGCAATGACTGTTTTGTTTTCTCTGTAATTCGTAGTGAATATGTTCTAAACGTTATTTTTGACCGAAAAATACTTTTTTTCAACTTTTTAATGACCCATTCTGATACTAACAAAAATGCATCATAGTTTCCCGATAAAATATTTATATGCTCATATTGATGAAAATACTATTAACCAATGATATCATACAGATATGTTTCCCTACAAGAAATTGAAAGAACAAAAATATTCTTTTATTTATATACTTGTTATTTTACTATGCGTGTGGAAAATATATCATGTACAGCAACGTCGTTCGGTCTAAATGATGATTTGTTTGTAACTAAGTGGGATTCATTTTTTCATCAAATTATACCATTAGTTGATTATCTAAATACATAAATAACACTGATTGGAGAGACTGAAACATGAATAATGAAACGCATATTCCTATTCGTAGAACACTTACTAATTGATGGAATTTTATAAAAAATAAAAATATAGAAATGCTATGAAAACACCAAATAATAACTAATAGACGAAGAATTCAACTAGATTCTAATAAATTGATCTATTTTAACTCAATAGAGAGAATACGAATTATTAGGTTAAGTTATATGTGAGGAATCTTGTCAATTGAATCCATGTTAGATAACACTGATGTGCTGTGGAAAGATCGAGGTATTGAAATCACAACCAAGACTATAGCTGTGCTGAGAAGTAGATACACTGTACAGAATGTAGATTGTAATTTTTCCTTCAAATATCATTAATCTGATTTCATATATGTATGTTCTTCAAAGATTCCTGCAAAAGAGATCATATTCATTGAATCGAATAAATATCAGACGAATAAGTAAATTAAGGAATATGAAAGCGAGATTTCTTTGATCTAAATAGATTCAAATCAAAAAGTTTCTAATTAACTTTTACTAAAGCTTGAAGAGAGCTTGTAAATCATAATCAAGCAAAGCTTATCAGACAATT